TGGTATCTTCTTTAATTTCTTTCTTTAAAGATTCAAAATTCTTACAGTACAGATCTTTTACTTTTTTGGTTAGCATTACCCCAATTTACTTTATGTTGTTTGTGGCAATTGTAAAGGGTGATGTTTGATTTCTTTCTCCACAAATGTATCGTCTGTATATAGTAGGGCTACTGATTTTTTTGAGTTAATCTTGTATCCTGCCACTTTACTGAAGGTGTTTATCAGCTGTAGGAGTTCCCTGATAGAATTTTTCGGGTCGCTTTTGTAGACTACCATATCATCGGCAAATAGTGAAAGTTTGACTTCTTCCTTTCCAATTTGTATCCCCTTGATCTCCTTTTGTTGTCTTATTGCTCTAGCTAGAACTTTAAGGATAATATTGAAGAGGTATGGAGAGAGTGGGTAGCCTTGTCTTGTTCCTGATTTTAGAGGAATCACTTTGAGTTTCTCTCCATTTAATTTGATGTTGGCTGTTGGCTCACTGTATATTGCTTTTATAATGTTAAGGTATGTTCCTGTTTTCCTGATCTCCCCAAGACCTTTATCATTAAGGGGTGTTGGATTTTGTCAAAGGCTTTTTTGGTATCTAGTGAGATGATCATGTGGTTTGTTTTTTCTCAGTCTGTTTATATGGTGGATTACATTGATGGATTTTCATATGTTGAACTATCCTTAAATCCCTGGAATGAAGCCTACTTGATCATGGTTGAAGATTTCTCTGATGTGTTCTTGGATTAAATTTGCCAGTATTTTATTGAGTATTTTTGCATCAATGTTCATGAGGGATATTGGTCTGTAGTTCTCTTTCTTAGCTGTGTCTTTGTATGGTTTGGGTACCAAGGTTATTGAAGCCTCATAAAAGAGTTTGGCAATGACCCTTCTGCTTCTCTTGTGTGGAATACTTTGAGGATAATTGGTATTAGCTCTTCCTTGAATTTCTGGTGGAATGCTGCACTGAGGCCATCTGGCCCTGGGCTTTTTTGGTTGGGAGACTTTTGATGACTGCTTCTATTTCATTAGGCGTTATAGGTCGATTTAAATTGCTTATCTGTTCTTGATTTAACTTTGGTAAGTGAAATCTATCCCGAAAATTGTCCATTTCCTTTAGATTTTCAAATTTTGAGGAATACAGGTTTTCAAAGTATGACCTGATGATTCTCTGGATTTCCTCTGTGTCTGTTGTTATGTCCCCCTTTTTCTTTTTGATTTTTTTAATTTTCCTGTTCACTCTCTGGAAACTTTTGGTAAAGGTTTGTCTATCTTGTTGATTTTCTCGAAGAGCCAACTCTTTGTTATATTGATTCTTTGTATTATTCTCCTAGTTTCCACTTTATTGATTTCAGCCCCCAATTTGATTATCTCCTGGCATCTACTCCTCCAGGGTGCATTGGCTTCTTTGTGTCCTAGAGCTTTCAGTTGTGCTGTTAATTCTCTGGATCTTGTGGTAGACTGATTCCCATTTTTCTGCCTTGTTTCCCTATATGTTACTTGTGTTCCACAAAAGGAGTATGTGTGTGTACACAAACACTTGTATGTATACAATCTACTGTGAAAAGCACTGACTGTAGCATTCTCATATTATCTTTTTGCATGTGTATGCATGTGTGGTATGTGTGCATGTGAGTGTTTACATGTGTGTTGGGTGTGTGTGTGTGTGAGTGAGTGTGCCTGCACATGGAGGCCCAAAGATGCTATCAGGTGGCAACTTCTCTGCTTCTCCACTTTATTTACTGAGGCAGCATCTCTCACTGAACCCAGAGCTTGATGAATCCAGCCAGTCTAATTAGCCAGTTTG